GGACGGCCCTTGTGGTCTCTTCTAACTCTATGATTCTATGATTCTATGTGGAGAAGGAAGAGGAGGAAGAGGAGGGAGGGAAATCCTTGTGGCATTTGCACTTCAAGAGTGTGATTTCCACATTTCTTCATCTGCACTAATTCTTTATTTTTTTCATCTACATTTGTCCACATTTCACCCACATTTTTTCACCTGCACAATTTTTTTTCATCCATATTTGCCCACAATTCCTCCACATTTTTTTCATCTGTAGTACTGAATTTCATGTCATGCCAAACCTCTGCCAGTCTCATCTTATGGGAAAGGCCTACATTTTCCCAAATGAAAGACTGTTCTCCTTGTCAGTAAACCTGGCTCTGACTTCTCACTTTCTTGGTATCTCCAAACTCTGGGAAACTGGCTGCTGGAAAATAGCAGCACCAACCAAAGCCTCCAAGAGACATTGTGAAGGGGAGAGAAACCTTCCACAAGGACAATCCTCCAAACCTCCCTTGAGAGGCAGCAGGTGGGGGAAGATGGACTTGAAAGCAAGGCAGATGTGCCGCTTTGGTAGAGAAGAGACCAAACAATGTTTTTTGTGCACCTTGGAGGTGGTGGTGGCAGAGATGGAGGGAGGGAGGTTTCCTTTGACAGGCGCTCCACTGCTGCCTTCAAACATTCCCCAAACCCTCCTGGGAAAAACGGCTGCACCGCCGGGTACAAACACAACCCAAAGAAAAGGCACTCCAGATTTTTTTTTAAAATGATATATGTCTCTGCGTCCTTTGGAAGGACATTCACCTCTTCTGCACCTGAAACCCACTTCACACAGGTTCGCCTCTGCTCCTGCCTCTGGTGGTGATGATGAAAAGGAAAGACAGGGAAGGAAGATGCCAGGAATCCAAAGAGAATTAGAAGAGGATTTTTTTTTTTTTTTAACAGAAGTGTTTTGCCATGATGGCGCCTTCTGGGCATGTTGGGCTGCGAGTCCCATCATTTATTTTTTAATGTAACCCATTATTCAACTAATTCACTAGCTAGGTTTCATTCAAATGAGACAGCAGGTCTCATATTCATATCCATATTCCCATTGTTACAAACACTAACAACAACAAATAATGCCTAACAATTAATTATTTTGGACTACAGTAATGCGATCAGCATGGTGTAGTGGTTTGAGCAATGGACTAAGACTCCGCAGACCAGTATTTGAATCTGGCTCAGCCATGCAAAAGTGACCTTCGACAAGTCACACTCTCTCATCTGCAGAGGATACCAATGGCAACCCCCCCCCCCAAGATACTCTGAAGAACACACCATCATAAATTCACTTTAGACGACTTAAGTCAGCACAACAGTGTGCAGCAGCTAAAAGGCCAATGCGATTCTAGGCTGCATCAATAGAGGTATAATGTCTAGATCGAGGGAAGTAATAGTGCCATTCTATTCTGCTTTGGTGATGGGGTTACACATCACCACTAAGAATGGGGAGGGTGGCTATGAAAGAACTAGAAAAGATTCTAAAATGCAAAGATATACCATACAACTCAGAACGAAAGTTGAACTCATACAAGCCTATTACCATGTATGGATGTGAGAGTTGGACAGTTAAGAAAGGTGATAGGAAGAAAAACAATGCCTTTGAGAGAATGTGGGGCTGGAAAAGAGTGCTGAGGATCCCATGGACAGCCAAAAGGACAGACAAAGGGGTCCTAGAGCAGATCAAGCTGGAAACCTCCCTGGAAGAAGCCAAGATGACCAAACTGAGGCTGTCGTACTTTAGCACATCATGAGAAAGGAGGACTCTTTGGAAAAAACAATAATGCTGGGAAAGGTGGAGGGAAGCAGGAAGAGAGGAAGGCCACAGGTATGGGGTTGCAGGAATTAAGCAGAGCAGCGGAGGACAGGAGATCTTGGAGATGTCTCATCCATAGGGCCACCATGAGTCGAAATTGTGGGTCCAGAGAAGGGCTACCAAAATGATTAAGGGTTTGGAAACTAGGCCCTATGAGAGACTTAGGGAGCTGGGTATGTTGAGCCTCGAAAAGAGAGAGTTAAGATGATAGCCCTGTTTAAGTATTTAAAGGGGTGTCATACTGAGGATGGAGCAAGCTTGTTTTTAGCTGCTCCAGGGAACAGGATCCGAACAATGGATGCAAGCTACAGGAAAAGAGATTCCACCTAAAGATTAGAAGGAATCTTCTAACAGTAAGAGCTGTTGGAGAGTGGGAAACACTCCCTCGAAGAGTGGTGGAGTCTCCTTCTTTGGAGGTTTTTAAACAGGGGTTGGATGGCCATCTGTCAGGGGTGCTTTGATTGTGAGTTCCTGCATGGCAGGCAGCTGGACTGGATGGCCCTTGAAGTTATCTTCCAATTTTATGACAAAAGCACACAACAACAACATACTCTGCATGAGTCCGCATTTGAAAAGCACTTAAAAACTTCACTTGGCCCAAAGAGCACAGCCAGACTGTTACCCAGGACTGGCTACAGGGAATACACAGCCCCCTTGCTGCAATACCTCTACTGGCTGCTGGTCCATTTCTGGGCACAATTCAGGTGATGACCTATAAAGCCCCAGATAGATTGGGTCCAGGATATATATATATGAAGGACCATATCTCCCTTTATGAACCCATGAGAGCTCTATGATCTAGACTAGAGGGCCTTCTCTCTGCCCCACCATCTCTCTTCTCAGGCATGTTTGGTGGAAACACAGGAGACGTAGAGTCTGCATCCGCACTTCAGGAACAATCCAGTTTGACACCACTTTTAACTGCTATGGCTGTGGAGTTCCTGGAATTATAGTTTTGTGAGACATTTAGCCTTCCCTGTCAGATAGCTCTGGGACCACAACAAGCCAGAATTCCCAGAGGTCCATAGCAATGACCCATGGAAGTTAAAATGGTGTCAAACTGGTCTCTCTCTGTAGTGCGGATGCAGCCAGGGCCTTCTTGGTGGTTGCTTACAATATTTTTTTTAAAAAGGACCCATTTTTAAAAAATACAAAAAGGTAGACATTCAAATAGAATTAAAGCATATTAAAACAATTTATATCCACACTTTAAAAGGTAAAATGCAATAGAAAAGATAAAAAGCAACTAAGAAGGCACTGTGAAATCTCCTTGCCATAAATTTTGCCAAGGTTTGAGCATTGGAGTGCAGCTGTGGAGACCAGGGTTCAGTTCCCTGCTCAGCCATGAAACCCACTGGGTGACTCTTAGGCAAGTCACACTCTCTCAGCCTCAGGGGAAGGCAATGACAAAGCTCCTCTGAACAAATCTTGCCAAGAAAATTCCACAACAGGGTCACCATAAGTCACAAACGACTTGAAGGCACACAACAAAAAACCCTAGAAGAGGGTTACCATAAATAAAAATCAATTTGACAACAAACAACAACAACAATAGCTACAGAATTTTTTAAAAAACACACATATAGGTGCCATCTTATGAACTTACAAACCACTTGCCCACGGTAGGTGAACTTGTCTGGAGCTGAAATAAGGACCTTAGTTGGAGTGAAGCCAGAGACAAAGAGCATTAAAATTAAAACAAAATGGCGCCCAAAACTGAGTCAGTGACTGAGGCGTCTCCACAGAAATTTATAGTGTGGTTGGCCAGGCCAAGGACCAATAGGCTTTCTTGAGAGGCGGAGCCAACTTGGGACCGCCCCTCTCCTCCAGAGCTTTGAAACAGGTCTTCTAGTCTCTCCAGGTAAGTATTACAGCAGAAACAAAATGGCGGCCACAACAGCTTTGAAGTAGGCCTTTTTTCCAGCCTTTCTAGCCAAGTGTCAAAAGTATGCTGTGGTCCAAAACATACTGCAGAAATAATCCAGTTTGAGACCGTTTTAACTGCCCTGGTTCAGTGGTAGGGAATTCTGGGAAGTGTTTTGTGAGCCCTTGAGCCTCTGTCAGCTCTGGAGCCACTATAAACTACAATT